TCTCTCTCTCTCTCTCTCTCTCTCTCTCTCTCTCATCAGTCTGGTGTCAGGTATCACTATATTCATCCTTCTCTCTCTCCACAGTCTGGTATCAAGCATCACTATATTCATCCTTCTCTCTCTCCACAGTCTGGTGTCAGGCATCACTATATCCATCCTTCTCTCTCTCTCTCTCTCTCCACAGTCTGGTGTCAGGCATCACTATATTCATCCTTCTCTCTCTCCACAGTCTGGTGTCAGGCATCACTATATTCATCCTTCTCTCTCTCCACAGTCTGGTATCAGGCATCACTATATTCATCCTTCTCTCTCTCTCCACAGTCTGGTATCAGGCACCACTATATTCATCCTTCTCTCTTTCCACAGTCTGGTATCAGGCATCACTATATTCATCCTTCTCTCTCTCCAGTCTGGTATCAGGCATCACTATATTCATCCTTCTCTCTCTCCACAGTCTGGTATCAGGCATCACTATATTCATCCTTCTCTCTCTCCACAGTCTGGTGTCAGGCATCACTATATTCATCCTTCTCTCTCTCTCTCTCTCTCCACAGTCTGGTGTCAGGCATCACTATATTCATCCTTCTCTCTCTCCACAGTCTGGTGTCAGGCATCACTATATTCGCGGCTGTGTTCTCCACACTCGTCCCTCTCAAGCCCTACTATACACAGAGTGACGTCATCAACGTTCTGAAAGACAGCGGGCCTGGCAGTACTGGCCTTACGTTTATCTGGTCAGTTGTGGTGGTTGTTGTTGTTGGTGGTGGTTGTTGTTGTTGGTGTTGTTGTTGGTGTTGGTGGTGTTGTACTGGACTTGCGTTTATCTGGTCACTTGTGGTTGTTGTTGTTGTTTGTTGTTGTTAATGTTGTGATTATTGTTATTGTTTTTGCTGTTGTTGTTGTTGTTGTTGTTGCTGCTGCTATTGCTGTTTTGTTGTTGTTGTTGTTGTTATTGTTTTTGTTATTGCTATTGTTGTTGTTGTTTTGTTGTTGTTGTTATCGTTGTTTTTGTACTGGACTCACGTTTGTTGTGATGGTGCTGTTGATGTTTTTGGCGGTGGTGGTGGTGGTGGTGGTGGTGGTGGTGATAGTGTTGTTAGGTTTTTTTATGGGCTAATTCTGTTGTTATTTTTCTTGTTGATGTGCTGATGCTGACACACTCCCCCTCCCTCTC